GGATCTGGGCGCTGTCCCTCAGCTCTTCAGCTCAAGGCTAGCGCTCTACCACTTGAGCCACAGTGCCACTTCCGGCTGTTTTCTTTTTGCTTATGTGGTGCTGAGGAATCGAACCCAGGGCCTCATGCATGCAAGGCAAGCACTCTACCACTGAGCCACCTTCCCAGCCCCTTTCATCACTTTTGTAATATAGGATGCACCAAACAAGGGATTTTTATCCTCCTCCCAGAGACAAGACTACTTTCAGTGGGAAAACAGACCTGATCATTGACTGAAAGTAAATGAGAACTGATACTTTCAGACTGAGCCCTCCTATTGGGGCAGTTATGGCATTAAATGAGATAATATATAATAAAGGGTTGTCTGGCTGTGGTGGCTCACATATGTAATCCTATCTACTCAGGAAGCTAAAGTCTGATGACTGGGGCTTGAACTCAGGGCCTGGGCCCTGTCCTTGAGCTTAAGGCTAGTGCTCTACCACTTGAGCCACAGCTTTTTTGAGTAGTGTATTGAAGATAAAAGTCTCATGGACTTTAGTGCCTGGGCTGGCTTTGAAACAGGATCCTCAAATCTCAGCCTCCTGAGTAATTAGGATAACAGTGTGAGCCACCAGCACTTGACTCACAATGACCCCTTTAAAGCCCTCTCACCTGCAATGTTGATCTTGCTATGGTTGCTTCACATATTTGTTTATTTACTTGGTTGTCACTGTGCTTCTTCAAATAGATGATTGGTTGTGACTTGGGTCAGCACCTTGTCAGCTTCTAGACTATTGTATTTGATGAATGGTAAGTCTCTCCTCCCGCTGTCCCCTTGCTACTTCTCTATTATTTTTGTGTGGTCCTGTGCCTTGAACTCAAGGTCTGGGTCCTGTCCCTGAAGTTTTATTGCTTAATGCTAACACTCAACCCCATGAACCACAGCCCTCCATTCAGTTTTCTTGGTGGTTAACTGGAGATAAGAGTCTCAGACAGCCTATTCTGGTGGCTCCCACCTGTAATCCTAGCTACTCAGGAGGCAGAGATCTGAGAATCTGGGTTTAAAAGCCAGTAAAGGCAGGAAAGTTCGGGAGATTCTTATCTCCAGTCAATCACAGAAAGAGCCAGATGTGGCTATATGGCTCAAGTGATAGAGCGCAATCCTTAAGCAAAAGTTTAGGGACAGTGCCCACGCCTAGAGTTTAAGGCCCAAGACTGGCAAAAAATAAAAAGGAAAGCAAGCAAGCAAGCAAGAAACTCATAGACATTCCTGCCCAGATTTGCTTCAAATAGTGATCCTCAGATCTCTGCCCCGCAAGTAGCTAGGATTACGAGCATGAGCCACCAACATCCACATCCCTTTTTATTTAAGTATTTATTTTAACAAACTGTGGTCTGTGTCTTCAACCTTCCTGGTGGGATACAAAATTTCCTACCAGGTGTCCTTACTTTGGCTTTTTTAGGGATCTTCAGTGTTGATGCAATTTATTCTGGGACCTCAAGCTGATGAAGCCAGCCTTAGCCAAGGGTTTTGAAAAAAGAATAGATTCACCTAGAAGTGCTGGTTTATGGGTCAGTATTTAAAACACATTTTAGTGTGTGTGTGTGTGTGTGTGTGTGTGTGTGTGTGTGCATGCATGTGCGAGTGCTCTGATACTAGGGCTTGCTCTCTTGCTTAGCTTTTCTGCTCAAGTCTGGTATTTACCACTTAAGCCACACTTCCATTTCTGACTTTTTTTTTTTTTTGATTCGGGTTGTGGGGCCTGAACTCTGGGCCTGGGCGCTGTCCCTCAGCTCTTCAGCTCAAGGCTAGCACTCTACTGCTTGAGCCACAGCACCACTTCCAGCTTTTTTCTTTTTGCTTATGTGGTGCTGAGGAATGGAACCCAGGGCCTCAGGCATGCAAGGCAAGCGCTTTACCACTGAGCCATCTTCTCAGCCCCCATTTCTGACTTTTTAAAACTTAATTGTCGGTAAGAATCTCACAAGCTTTTTTGCCCAGGCTGACTACAAACCAAGGTCTTTAGATCTCAGCCTCTTTAAGTTGCTTGAATGGCAGACAGGAACCAGTGCCTGGCTTGTTCTTAATATTCTTTTTTTTTTTTCTTGTCGGTCGTGGGTCTTGAACTCTGGGCCTGGTACTGTCTTTGCACTCTTCAGCTCAAGGCGAGTGCTCTACTGCTTGAACTACAGCGCCACTTCCATGTTTTTAATATTCTTTAACAAACTGATTCAAAGACTGGGTCTCCATTTTCCCATCTCATCATCACAAACCTTTAATCCCCATTCATTCTCTTCTCTATGAAGAAAGGATGATGATAATGGTGTGATTTCCAGGCTGGCACCAGACAGATCGGCTTAGTCAAAAGCAAAGCCCAAAAATCATAAGTATGAGACTTCTGGCAAAGATCCAGGAGAAAAGAGAAGGGATTGGAATGCAAGGGTTTAAGGACAATGTCTGTGAACTATG